GGTTTTCTCACTCAACAAGGGGAAGTCTATGAAATCTCCTTAAATCCTTCTATTTTATAAAGCGCTAACTTTGTGTGTCGGTTTGTGTATCTGTATGTGTGTGTATGTATGTGTGTCCGTCCGCAAAATGAAGTGAGTGAGAAGGAAGCTCATGGGATAAACAAACCGCTAACAAATCGGGTAGCTTACAGGATTTGAGATATCAATGTTTTGTAGCAGGATAGTTGTGATAACACTCTTAGGGCTATATAAACACCTGCTTAGCACACTTCCGTTCATTCCACATGGTGCTGCAGTGGCAGCTGGAGGGCAGTGGAGAGAGGAAGGGAGGATGAGGAAGGGAAGCGAAAAATCTACCGTCATATCATGATTGTGTCCCTTCTACTGTATGAAACACCATTGTGTTGCATACGCGTCACTTCCAGAGGTGTTGGTGTCACAGGAGGAAGGGACCATAGCGGAGGATAGAAAGCTTGCGCAGGAAAGGAAGGTCCCGGCGGTTGACGGGGGACTAATCTGGTAATTAGATCCATTCAAGTCTGAAACTACTGCGCACATAAACGATATGGGAACGAAGATCCGGGGTTGATCAATTCCTTTCTGGTATGTGCCATGCATTTTACTTCTCTTCAAAGTCACAGTTACAGTTGAATTTAAATTAGTCTAAACACGACTCGGTCTGAATACTGAGGTCTTGGTTGACCGATGGATGTTTTCGTCACCTCACAAGGGGGTCTGAATGAAATCCTCCGTTGAATATGTAAAAATGCAGCTTCCGAAGAAATCATTTCCATATTTTTCAGCATTCAGAGGACCATTCGGTTCGAATTTACCACAGTTTTGTGCTTTGAGCCGTTGTGCCTTTTGCATGCCCAGGTAATGGGAGAAGCACGGCATGCCCTGATCGACCTCTCCTGTTAGACCGATTTGCTATCTTTTAGCCAATCTCGGAGCGATAGACGGTTCGGATAGCTTGACGGCGTACCATCCAGGATTTGATTCTCGGAGCGTGCCTGTGGTTTCAGCGTCATGTGGACTCATACTACTGTTACCTCTATTTGTGTATACACTTACAGTGCAGCATGAATGAGGGTGAAACAACTTGGTCATTTGAAGAATGTTGCAGTAGTCTGGCTATCTGGAAATAATACTAAAGAGAAATTTGGGAAGGTTAAATTTCAGAATAAACAAAGGCTTTGACAGGAAGGCAAGAGGGGTGGCTTGGCAGATTCCTGATACAGGGCCGTAGGCTATCCTTTCCCAGAAGAAGGGGGACTCGGACTTCTTGAATCTTCTTTGCCTTCTCAAACAGAATTGCTCTGAGGGCCTATTTGTGAGGTATTCATATGGGTGATGGTAGCGTGTGCTAGAAGTAAGTAAACTATATCGCTGAAAACAAGCAAATATAAAGAGATTCTCCGGTCTCCTAGCCTGGGGGAGAATAGCGTACGACCCGTATAATTGTAACCTTCTGAGTAACAAAGAAATGGACCGCTCTCAATCAGTCATAAATATGATGAAGATGTGAAGCGGATTCGACTCAAATGCAAATGATCGGAAACCCTTGGAGCTTCGCTCTAAAATTCGCAACGATTGATCGATGCTCAAATGATAGCTCTATTCACAGGTTCAAAAAATCAGCAGATATAAAAAAGGAGCTTGCTGGTTCCCTTAGGACTTCATCCCACAAGTGCTTGAACCGCAATTTTGGTTGCCCTCTGGTAGTTTTCATTCACGCATGCGATCATCTATACACATGCCAGGTAAAACACCCCCCTACCCTCCCTTAAATGGTACCCTGGTTCGGTACAAGAAACCTGAGTAGGTTACAGTTATGATAGCAACACATTGTTCCCGCTACTAGATCCTGACAAAGGGGAGGGAAGGAGGGGAGCGAATAGATTATAATGTGGTAATGGTAGGTAGAGCAGTGGCAGGTGACCTGCATGCTGCATGAGGGCCCAGTGATAAGATTGCTGGAAGAAGCGTACCTAGCCACCTATTTCACTTCCTTCTAGGGTGCCGAATAGTACCAGAT